TCTTTTAAGATTTAAAATAGTTCCACTGGAATGCCATCACCTCCACTGGCCATGTGCTTGAGATAGATCAGGAGGTCAGTTAAGTATATACTTTCATGACATCATGTCTATACTGATTTTAAATATGGCAGCTCTAAACAATGATGTCGCATCCAAATTATTTGCATTTCTCTTTATATGACCAGAGTATTCTGTTTTATGATTTCCTGTTTTTTTTAAATTGCCTTCTTGTTAGTCAGTCCTCAGTCCAAGAAATTCTTTGATATATCCACATTTCTAATGTTTTGGGTTTTCTTTATAGTTATCTGTGTTAAGCCACTGCATTCCCAGTGTGGTCTGCTGGAAGGAGTAACAGAATAGACCTCTGGAGAACAGGGTTCAAATCCCCACCTAGCCTTTGAAACTGAGTGGAATTCATAAAACCACTCCTTAAATATCTGATTTACTTTGAAAGCTCTGTTAGGGTTGCTGTAAGTCAGTTCTGTTTGATGACACAGAACACACGTGTTAAGCCATGGATGCATTATTGTGTTGCTTTTTCTCTATACACCCCATGTTCCCTCTCTGATCTAAATTCTCACTCCTCAAAGTTCTATACAGTGGTGCCTCGCTAAGCGAAATACGGTTTCCCATTGAAATGAATTTTAAACTGGATAATCTGTTCCAATAGGAACGAATTGCCGTCCTTAAGCGAAAATCACCATAGGAAACATCACTAAGCGAAACGCGGTTTCCCAATTGAAATGCATTGAAACCTATTCAATGCATCTCAATGGGGGGAAAATACAACAACAAATTAAAAAAGAGTCAGAACAAAGTCAAATTTGGTTAACAAAGGGTTTATTAAGTGCACTTTATGATTTCAAACATTTTAAACAGTAAACTGTAACTTTATAAATAACAGAAAAACATTTAAAAAACAGCAAACATGAGGCTGTTTAAACCATCGTTAAGCGAAACAGGGGACCCAAAATGTAATTGCTATGCGAAGCATGGTCCCAACCATCGCTAAGCAAAAATCGCCCATAGGGACCATTGCTAAACGAAGCACAAAAACGCTCTGAAAAAGTCGTCGCTAAATAGAGCGCCTGTTAAGCGAGGCACCACTGTATTACTTTTTAAAATGATACACTATGTCTACATAAAATATAATACTTTCTTTGACTACAAAATTAGCCATCCCTGATGAGTGCTTCCAAGACATGGTTTTATTATGCAATGTCCGTGATTCAATCAAAAATTTTTATATGAGGTACCAGCTGATGTTTTATTCCCTCATGTACTTTCACTGCTGCTGCTTTTTCTTCTTCACAGAAAGATCCATTGAGGAAGAAGAGATGGGGTAGCAATACAACGGCCAAAATCCTGTTACTTACCATAGTAAATCACACTAGAGTAGTCCTAATAAATGAATGGGGATTTAGTGAGTCAACTGCTCCATAATTTCCATTGATTCAAACAGGTCTACTCTAACTGCGATACTATGCTAAAGTAAATCAGTTAGGTTATTAGAATCACTGGAACTTATGGAGCAGTTGACTCACTAAATCAGGGGTCCCTATCCACTGGTCTGCAGCCTGGTATCAGGACCAGGTTCTGGAGACCGATCTCCCCCCCGCATGCCCACCCACATGCACGGCCTGCCCACCCATGCATGCGTGAGAGCGCCCCCACCCACCCATGAGATAGCCGCGCCAAATTGCACATGCGTGCAGTCATCCCCCCACCCGCATGCAATCCCCCACACAGGGCCAGCTGCATGCATGGCCCACCCACCAGTGCATGTGTGGGAATGCCCCTGCCCACCCGTGAATGGGCCTTGCCCACCTGTGCATTTGAGCATATGCCCCACCCACCCATCTGCACATGCCGTGAGAGAGTCCTGTCCACTCATGCATGCACAAGTGTGCACCCTGCCCACCCACGAGTGCAAGGGGTGCCCCGCTCACCCATACATGGACCCCATCACCCCAACCGGTCCGTGATTTGGAAGAGGTTGGGGACCACTGCACTAAATACTTGACTTTTACTTTCTACTTAATCTTTTGTTTCATATTTTCCATCTTGATTAATACTAATATTGTCAATGTAAATAGTTGTTTTAATTGTTTAATGAATAATTTTAGTGTGAGCCACCCTGAGTAGACC